TACAGTTTTTTCACTACAGAATTCAGGAATTGCATCCTGGATCCCAGTGTTGCAGTTAAAGAGTTGTCCTGGCTTATTTTATGTCAACTTGACAACAAGCTAAATTCATCTGAGAGAAGGGAACCTTAGTTAAGAGAATGCCTCCATAAAATCTGTCTGTAGGTTGTTCTCTTAATTAGTGATCAATGGAGGAGGGCCCAAGCCATTGTTGGTGGTGTTATCCCTGGGCTGGTGGTGCTGGGTTCTATAAGAAATCAAACTGAACAAGCCACAGAAGCCAAACAGCAAGTGTTGTTCTTTTGCGGCAGCTAATGCCTATAAGACACAAACACGAGACTCAGCGCCCACGTGGAGTTTATTGAGAGAAGGGAGCGAAAAGGGGGGGGGGAAGCTGGTGGCCAACTGAAAGCAGGAGAGACAGAGAGAGAGAGAGAGAGAGAGAGAGAGAGAGAGAGAGAGAGAGCAAGAGAGAGCAATAGAGAGGGGTGTGCTTGGCTTCCTTGCTTTAAAAGGGGGGCTTGTGCATGCGTAACTGAGTCCTCTGGCAGCCAGGTAAAGCTTGAGCTGCCAGGTAAGGCTGAAGTAGCAATCACATGGCCATGAGCATCCCGCCCATCGTCTGGGGTGGGGGTCAGCTGGCTGCTAGTTCCTAATAGTAAGCAGCACCCCTCCATGGCCTCTGCTTTAGCTCATGTTTCCAGGTTTCTGCCCTATTTTGAAGTACCCTGGTATTGTAGTTAAAGGTAATTGTGACCCATTATGAAGTGTGGTTCAGGGAACTGAACTCAGGATCCCTGAAAGCACTGTTGTAAGGAGTAAGGTTTTTCCTCCCACCGCCAGTCTTGTCCCGCTGCCGTGCCAACCACAAATAACACACAGAGACTCTGTATTTGATATAATTCTGTTGGTCAGTTACTTGTTTCTTATTGGCTAGCTCTGTTTTAAGTATTAACCCATTTCTGTTAATCTAAGTACTTGCACGTGATCTATCTTACCAGAGAGCCGGCTGGCTTCCTGCTCTCTCCAGACTCTCCATCTTGACTCCTCCTTACTCCTTCCTCTTTCCTCCTTGTCTCCTAGTCCTTCCTATCAACCTTTCCTATTAGCCAACAGTGCTTTATCCATTAGCCAGTATGAGAAACATATTTACAGAATGACATCTCCCATCACACTGTAAGCATTCTTAATTGCTGGGCCCTTTCCCTAGGTCAAAAATCAGAAGCCCTACTATTTACAGACGACAAACAGGCTGAGAAAGAAATCGGAGAAACAGCACCCTTTACAATAGCCACAAAAAACATAAAGTATCTTGGTATAATGCTTACAAGTGAAAGACCTATATAATAATAAGTTCTTATTATAAGTTATTATTATAAGAACTTATTATTATATAGGTACTTCAATGCCATCCTGTGCTCTTGACATGACCGAAATGCACATGCAGACATCTACACACAAACACAGACAACAAAGAAATGAATATTAAAATGTACCTAACAAACAAACAGTGTGACTGACCAGGTTTAAATCCTTGCATTCTATCAATACTGCTCATATTCTACTGTTATTTTGGATCCTGTCACTTAATAGAAAAATCTTTTCACCAGTATTAAAAACACATTTAGGGTGTTCGGTGGCAGCAGTGTGGTCTGAGAAATGATATGGTAAGAGCATCTTCCAAGAAATGCTAGTGATGAGTGTGGGTACAGATGAACAAGAGACGATCATTCCACAACCACCTAAATAAACTGACATGAGAGATGGCTTGAGAAAAAAAGAGTTTCTACTCTTCCCATTATTCAAAGACCTCAACATAAATCCAGCCACACTGAACCTCTTAGAAGAGAAAGTGGGAGGTACCCTTGAACAAATTGGTACAGGAGACTGTAGTGACATAGTCCTTCTGTGGCACTGACCATATTTGTTTATCCTGATCCTTATTTAACTGCAATAGGAGACCGCTTCCTGAACATAACTCCAGCAGCACAGACTCTGAGATCGACAATTAATAAATGGGATATCCTGAAGCTGAGAAGCATCTGTAAGACAAAGGGCACAGTCGAAGTATAAAATTTCTACACTCATTTTAAAACAAATAAACAGGATTGTGAGGAGAAAACACCGGGGATCCTTGTGACACTGGCCAGTGGTGAGCAAATATATGGTGTGGTATGGAAGAGAAAGACAGAATGGTTCATGTCCTGTGGAGACAGCAGATCTGAAGAGGGGAAGGCAGTGAGGATCAGGCTGAGGTGGGTGGTCTTGCTACCCAGTGGCAAAGTAATGTACAGGCCTTGGCTGGCTGCTGCCAAGAGCCATGTCTGGACCCACGGCCCTGCAGAAGCAGTGGTCTGTGTTGATATCAGTCTGTGATGCCTGATGCCACTCAAGGCCAAGAGGAAAGGGCTGCACAGAACTGACCCTGCCACTCACTAGCTACAGCACTAAGGAGAACTGGTCCTGCCCCTTACTGGCTGCAGCACTACAGAGAGTGGGTCCTACACCTCCCCAGGACAACACAGTAGAGCAGCCCCAGTTGGCAGGGGTGTGAGTGAACTGGCCCTGAGGGTATGAGAGTGGGATAACTCTCTTGTCTGTCATGTGGTATCTAGGGTGAGGGGAAAAAAGCTCTCCCATCAAACCTCACTACCAGTGGCAGGCAGGAGAGCTGACCCAGCCCCTCACCACCTGCAGCACTCCGGAGAGCAGACCCTGGGAAGCACAGGGGAGCTGACCCTGTTGACAGGAGAGTGGGTGAGCTGGTCCTGCAAGCTAGAGCATGTGAGATCTGGTCCTGACCCTCTTCTGCCAAAGGGTGGTGAAGACAATGGAGAGAAGGCCCACCCACCCATACCACTTATCGCAAGTAAGAGTGATGGCCTTGAGATCACAAGAGAAAGACAGCTGGCCCAGTCTCACCAACTGTGGTACTTCAGGAGAGTGGTCCCTACACCTCACCTGCCAAGCACGGTAAGTAGAGCTGGGCCTGATAGTGTAGGTGTGTGTAGGTAAGCTAGCAATGAGGACACAGAGAGCTTGAGGACCAGCCCTGCCCCTTGCTGCTTACTGGACAGGGTGAGCTAGCTGGGGTGGGGCTGGTGAGGACACCCTGATAGTGAGAATGAGGGAAAGCTGGCACGCTGACAAACCCAGCAACCATCCAGGGTTATGAGTTGGCTCACCCCAACATCCACCCCACCTATGAGCTGCTGGAGCACGTGAAGGGGACAGTCCTGCAGACCCAAAGCTACAGAATCTCCATGACACATGATACCCAAGAGGAGTCCCAGTGAGGGCCCAGCATCGATGGTGCAGTAGAAACCACAGGCTGCTTCAGTGGACACATGCAAGTAAAGATAAATGGACTAAAGGGTATCCTGTGTGACTCACTTGGCTGCACTATGCATACTACAGCTTTCATGGTATGATTTTTCTTTCCTTTGTACTTTTTTTCCAAGACAGGAATTCTCTGTGTAGCTTTGGAAACTGTCCTGGAACTTGCTCTGCAGACCAGGGTGGCCACAGACTCACCGAGATCTGCCTGATTCTGGCTCGCGCCTTGTTATTCTCTTTAAATTTTTTTTTTATTTTAGCTTGAGGGGAAGGATGCAAAGGCAGAGGACAGATATGAATAGACAGGGAGATGAATGGGATTGAGATGCATGACGTCAAACCCCCAAAGAATCAATAAACATTTAAATTAGAAAAAATAAAACCACACTTATTCATTCTGGAAGATGTGAAAATCACCAAAGAGAGGCCTGAATATCTTACCAATGACTTATCTTTCCCAGTGTCCGTTACCTCCCACATTCAGGGTACCCCTCTGACCTACATGATGTCTTCCATCATGGCAATTCTGTTTTTAGGCACACACACTGGAAATGATAGGGGTTACCTACCTGTGGGGTTGTAATGTAGTTTTGAGGAACTCAAAAAGGATCCAGTTGTGCTTGCCTAAAATGTACCACATACCAAAGGATTTACAGACACACATACAAACAAGCACACACACATATGTACACACATGCTACACACATGAATACCATTACACATGTAAGACTTACCCAAATATTTACACACACCAAAACACACACACACACACACACACACACGTATTCACATAGATGTGCCTACACACATACACATGTTCCACATGCCAAAGATTTACACACACAGTCACACACAAACACACGTATTCCCACACAAGTGTACCTATACATATGAACACATATACATATGTAACACATACAAAAATACACACACACACACTTGAGTAACACATGATTCAATACTTTGGTAATGTATTTATCATTTGGTATTGATAGTCAGAACATCTCAAGTAGGAGATATTCAAAGTTGGAAAGAGTAGTAAAGGTCCATATGCCTACACATACTTTGCACAAAGTGGGAATTACCTCCCATCCCATCCCATCCCATCCCATCCCATCCCACCCCACCCCACTCCACCCCACCCCACCCCGGATAATTCAGTTTATGAAGTAAAGTGATCCCAGAGGGGAAGCCCTCATTGACTGTGGAGGAACGAGTTCCACTTGTGGAAGATGGGAGATGCTGAACGCGGTCTGTTTCCAATGCTTCTACACAACAGGACACAATGAGACAAAGTGGCCGGGGCTACAACTGGACCCATGCAGAAACGCCGGTGACAGCACACCTCTGTTTTAAAAGGCGTGAGATGTCAGGAGGAGGGTGCAATTCAGTGACTCATCCCAGCAAGTCTGAAACAATTTCACGTTTATTCAATCAAAAGTTTCCAAGTAAAGACTTCCCACGGCAGGTAGAGCTATACCCGTATCTATGAAATCACAGGGCAGGAGCTTTAAGTGTACAGAACATGCCGTATATCACTGACGTGCACATACTACGTGCACAATAAATTTGAAAAACAAAGCATTCTCAGTAAAGGTTTTCTGGCACCTCACAGCTGTGGACGCGGCAGTTACATTCATTTCAATTGCAGTCTCCGTGGCGCCATAGATTCACACAGATAATAGTTTGATGAAATCGTATGATGGTGGTTGAGCTTCTTTCTTCAAGGTGTTATGAGAATAGCAGGGAGAGCTTCTTTCTTCAAGGTGTTATGAGAATAGCAGGGATAGAAGAGATGATCTAGCATCAGGTTTTTCTTCCTGCAGCTTTACCTGAACAAGGGTATTAAACATCTGATTAATGTTTGTGTTGATATAACATATACTTTAGGAAAGAAAATATTTAATGCTTATATAATCCCACCCACCCTCATTTTAAAAAAAAATAACGTTCTACTCACAGTTTCTGTAGTAAGTTTCCTTTCCAAGATGTCCATTTGTTTTCTGGCTTCCTCGATAATAGCTTTTCGGCGACAACTCTTAATAGCCCGTAGATTCTAAAACCAAAAGACGTGGCTAATTAGAAGTCGCTGATGGTCATCTCAGTTCAACACTGTGGACAATTGCACTTCAAAAGCGGTATGTATTACAGTACAAGGTATGGCCATTAACTATCCCAAAGTAAACGTATACTGTATAGTATATGAAAATCAAAATACCCATTAAAGGAATGTGGAAACGTGAAGCCGAGCATAATACAGCTACAAGTGGAGACGCACAACTTTGTGTGATTAGGATGGCTATGATCAGGACTGAATGTTCAACAATGAATGAATCAGGATATACCACATCAAATCTGTTGCATTAAGACCTGCAGAGAGGCCTGGTAATGCATGCCTGTAATTCCATCACTCCAACGCTAGAGGCAGGAGGATCACCACAAGTAGAAGAACAGCCACTACATAGTGAGTTCCAGGCCAGCTGGGGCTACACAGAGAGATTCTGTCTATTTATAAACACACTGTGGTGACATATAGAAGAATTGCAAAACTATTAGATGATCTCTTCTATATTTCAGTGACGGAAGTGAATACGGAACCAGAAATTACACAACACTTTAGCATCAGGATGGATGGGCAACTTTTTGACATATGCAGGTAAAAATGAAGGTTAATGACTGACTACAGGTTCACAGAAAGATTAATATTCCGGGAGGAAAGCAAGAAGAGACAGGAGCGGCATGACTATAGGGGAAACGTTACAGTAAGCAAACTGAATATAATAGCACAAACCGTGAATGTCTGTCCTCAAAGGCAGAATAGAAGAGGTGGCTGTGGGCGGTGGGGAGCGGGGTGGTGGAGGTGGGTAGAGAGGAAAACAGAGGAGGAGGAGGAGACAAAGAAGATGAAGACAAAGACCACGATGGTGGAGGAGAGGGAGGGGGTGGAAGAGGGAGAGGGTAAGGAGGGGAGGACGAGGAGGAAAAGGAAGAGGAGGCAGCGTGTGGTATGTACGGTGCAGATGACGAAGGGCACCCCGGAAATGCAGTCCTGAGATGAGGGTGAGACTAACAGCTACCTCAAACCTGCAGGATGAGTTCCGAAGGCCTCCCCCTGAGGACTGCAGCTTGACAGCCACTACTCAAAAGCACTTCAAATTAGCAGGCCTGCACACATGTGTCCCAGTGTGTGCCAAGTACGACAAAACATGAAAAGAATTCTTTTTAACTCGGTTGATTGGGATTATATCAATTAGCCTGGATGAAGGAAATTTAATACGAACACGAGGCATTTAACATCATCAACTCGGAAAAGAGAATTTGAGTGAACAACAACTAATTAATTCAGGAGTAACTATATACATACCCATGTCCAAGCTCAATGTGCTGGAGGACAAGAATTTGATAAGGTGCACTTAAAACAGTCGATAGTTCTCAATTCGCTAAGTGTTCATCTCCACTTATTGTTTTGCTCCATCATGCTATGGGCTTTGTCTTACCATTCTAAGTGTCCACATACAGCAATGCACACACAGTTCAATAATGCCAGAAAACAAAGGGGCCCAAGAAACAAAGGATGTGTAGACAGCCTACACCGAATATGTCACTGTTCAAGGGGAATGCCGATTGTGGGAGCAAGCCATGATATAAAAAGCAGCACTTGCCCCTAACAATACGTATGACTCTGGGTAAAGTTACCAATGCACCAACTGCTGTTTTGAAGGTGTTGTAATTTAAGAAAAGCAGCGCTTGAGAAAGATGCCAGGAGACAGGATTCCAGCACAGGGGATTTTAATTAGAGGAGGGGGTCATAAAAACGGGATGGGGAGATTGGCCTCCTGAGACAGGAGCAGCAAGAGAGAAGAGAGAGGAAGGAGGCAGAGAGGGAGGAATGAGGGGGAAAAAGAGGGAGAGGGAGGGAGGGAGAGAGAGAGGGAGGGAGGGAGAGAGAGAGAGCACAGAACAGAGACAAGGAGAGGAAAAGAGAGAGAGAGGAGGAGGAGGAGGATAGGATGAGGGGCCAGGGCCCCTTTAGAAGGGAACATAGTGATGTGCACTGGTGGTGCTCTTAGTGGCTGCAGCGGAGCGCGTACCCTGTCAGAAGCCCAAGGACAGGCCACTACAGATGCCTGAATACTAACAGAAGGCGTTGAATGAATAATAACCCTGAAAGGAGAAGCTTATTTAGTAGTTAGATTTATCTGACATGGTAGCACTGTGAGCAAATGAGTGAAGTTTACAGGTGTAAGCCCCGGATTTCGAACCCCAGTAAGGAAAGAAAGCCAGTACTTTGACCTCCACTATGAATGGGATATTTTGTAGGAATGTCCAACAGACCTTCAAGTGTTGACTACATAACTCCTTAAATTCTTCTATTTTCTGCTTGTGGATAACTTGGAATTGCTCATAAAGCTTTTGTTGCTCATCAAGTATATTCTATAAATATAAACAGACATAACAACATTCCATGAAAAATGAAGAGCTTGCCAAAAATACTTCAATATTTCATTTAAATGCTATAATTTAAAACAAGTACTTTGGACATTTCATTGACTTAATAGGAACACTGTCTTCATAGTATTCAAAAACATTCCCATTAGTTTCCGACGACTTGAAAACTCACCCACGAGAGGCCTCCATAGCTGGCGAACTCTGTTTTCTACAGAAATTAGCCTGAGATGTCCTGATCACCTGTCACCCCCTACACGGAAACTGACTCCGTTTTGTCCTTTCCAGTATGAGCAGGCCGCCCCCCCTCCACCCGGCCACCCGGAATCATGGTTAACAGGGAAGGATTCTGTCACACTTGCTTCAGATACTGTCCTGGAACAGTGTAAGAACACACACCTGAATACTTTTATCCACTGTATGAAACAGGGACTTTTAAGAATGTCCCCTTTCACTCCTAGGAATCTGAGGCACAGAGGCAAATTCTTTTCCCGAGTTGGTCTGATTGAGCAAGCGACTGAACTGTGGCTGCCTCCCAACGGGTGAGATTGCAGAGGGAGGCCATGCTCCTGACCACTGGACTAGACAGCGTCTCCATCTCCCTCCGCATTCCAGCCTCTGCTCCCCCACTCCCATCCCCACCTTTGGAAGGCAGAGTCTTCATGAGGAGGGCAGCTCCATCCTCCACCAGGAAGGAAGATCCCTCAAGGATGGTACTGTCCCGTGCCCAGTACTTGTCCCCAAAAGCTCATTCAAATGCCCATGTTAAAGGGGAGTCAGTCATCACATGTCCATCGTGGCATGAGGCCTTACGTCCCTCTCCTCGGGGAGTGGGCTGGTCTGAACTGGACGCAGTGAGAGCCAAGCCTCCACCTGCTCGGCCACAGACACAGTGACTGCTCTCACTCTGTACCTCTGATCACTGTGTCAGAAGGCTCTGTTGGGGCCCCTGCCCCTGATGCCTGTCTGCACACTGTGGATCAGGAAGGGCTCCCCTCTGGGCTTACAGGCCCATACCTTCTCCTGCACTCTCTGGGCAGTGCCCACTCATTCCTGCCACCCTCCGCCCACCATTCTGGCTCCTAACTCATCACTGACCTTGCCGTCTCTCTGCCTGAAAAGGAGCAAGCCGGTGGCCGGCGAAGAGGGGGGGATGGAGGTGGGATAGCCAGTCCCTCCTGGCCACATGGAACCACCTTCCTGTCTCCCCAAGCTCTTGCCCTGTCCCTTTCTTCCCTCCAGACTTGCTATAGGAAGCCCTGCTGCATCCGATGCTGATACAATGGGTTCCTTCAAAGCTAAGCCCCATACTCACAGAGAGTTTTTCTGTCTGTTTCTTGATTTGGTGTACATCTATGTTCCACATCACGACCAAAGTCAAAAACTGATGAGAATATTCCTGATAAATCTCCTTCCTGTAAAAGATAACAGGGAACACTGTGATATTCCATTACAATAAATATATTCAGAGCACGACTGCCTTGCCCTCACTAACGCTGTCGATGGATGACGAGGAAATGTCATCTGCAATACTCTGACAGGGAACAGGAAGCTGATGTGGGTTACTTTCTCCTACACTAACGGGATTTGTTCCTCCCTGACTGAGACAGCAGTCCCTTCCCGTCCCTTAGAGACAGAAAACTCAGGAGGAACTGTTGTTTCCAGCACATTCCTCAAGTATTTATCCGTCAGTGTGACAAGCACAACTTCTGGTTAGAATCCTCTATCTGAAGAGCAGATCCAAAGGGCACGCACCCCCACTACCATCAGAGAATTCTGTGCAGGCCTACCCACTCCTCCTCTCCATGTGCCGGGGAACACGCATATGTTTGTAATTTATCCTGCTCCATAATTTATAGATTATTCTCCTATAAGATTTATCTCTTTCCCGCATGATTGAGTATCTGCTACATGGAAAGCATTTTGAGATATTCAGCATTAATCCACCTATCGCATTCATGGGATGCATGCAAATTCTTTATGGTGAACGGATTCAAATGCATTAAATTGACAAGACAGAAAGGTCATCTTTACTGACAGCTTAGCAATAAAGCTGGCTCTGGTTACAATGTGAGGTTATAGGCTGAAAGGTGTAGTTTTCCATAGCAAACCTAAGCCATGTGAAGGTTTCCTTAGAAGTTCCACAAACATAAAAATGCCAGCGTGTCCCTAGCAAATGGTTTATTCATGAGTACCAAGAAATGTGAATAGGTTGTAGTGTCAAAACAGGAAAAGCCAAGAGTCTCACCGTCGCTCATGCTGGAGCTTCAGGAAGTGGTTAATTCTCTGCTCGATGTTGTAGACAGTAGTACTGACATTCAGCACATTCCTTTTTCTCCTGCCTTGAAGAGATTTCTTACTAGGCCCTGCATTGGAAATCCTCATAAACATCTATTGTTAAGTTAATAAGGTAAGCACTACTGCACTACTGTTAGAAAGATCCTGGCTACCAACATACAGCCATCTTTCTAAAAGTCAAGAGTATCCCACGCCTTCCTGTCACTGGGAATTTATAGCAGCTAACACCTTAATTTGAAAATTGAGACTTGTACTTTAGATGTAAAACACAGCTAAAGGGATTTACCAAAACTTACAAAAAGATTTTCAAAAGTATTGTTTAATTTCTCTTTAAGAAGACATTTACAGTCTCAATTTCATCAATATACAAAGTGTCCTCAGTTCAAGGACACATTAAGAGGACCTGTCGGGCTGCTTTACGCAAAGTGTAAGAGCATTCCATTTATAAAGTCTCCAAAGGTCCAGAGATTACTCCATGGTGAGATGAAAATAGTGCATTTAATGTAGTCGTTGGTGCGGTGGGGGTGGGGTGGGGTGGGCGGATTTAGACAAATAGAAAAGGAACATAGACATTTTTGAATAGTTTAAGGAACAAAATTAAGTGGCTTGTGGGCAATTCTATTGCAGTACTGAGGATGGAACCCAGAGCCCTGAGCATACTAGGCAAGTGCTTTCTCACTCAGCTAAAACCCTACCACCATTCCTGGACAATTTCTAAATAAGAGGTCTATCAGATCAAAAGCTCTAAAGTTGTTCTGTGTTTGACCTTTAACACAGATCGTCTGGCTAATGTCCGACATTGCAGTTCAGAGCCAGACTCGTTGTGGTTCTACAGAGCTCACATGCTGACTTTGACTAACTCTCCATTGTGTGTGCTACGTAATCAATGTGAACAACAGTGAGTGAGCTGTTTCAGAGCAGACCTGTTGAGTTGTTGGCCCTCACTGTCCCACCACAGAAAAAAGACATGAGACAAGCACTCATGATGACTGAAATGGAAAAGCATAATCCAAAACTAAAAAAGCAGACATACCACTTGTCTGTAACAAAATCTGGAATACAGATAATTTCATCCACTTTTCTAAGAGTTCGCAGTATATAATTTTTTAAGTGGGGGGGGAAGTCCATCGCTCTGGCTTTGTATCAAGGATGGAACAAGAACCCGATGGACACATAGTGTGTCACATGGAACTGTTACAGACTTTCAATGGCTCTGTACGTACACTTTCACACACTCGAGTAATGTTTACAGTCCTATGAAAGGTGAACAAATGTTGAGAGAGTGTAAAATGCTGACTTTTGAAGCTAACGGCAACAAGAAATGCAAAATTTATGTAATTTTATTAGTATTTCCTCAAGTGAGCACCAGTCCATGGTGGCTGCGGACACCTCATGGTTTGAGTGACACCTGTTCCCAGCCTTGTTTGTGACCTTAATCTATCTCACATTGGCTCAAGGGTCGGAAAGTTTGAGTAGCCGATTACATTCATTTCTTGTGGCTCCTGTAACAGATTGCCACAAATGAGATCATCTAAAGTAATATGAAATTGTCGTTCCAGCAATAGAACCCTGAACGAGCTGTTAGCAGGGTATATCACCCACAAGGCTGAGAAAACCCACTCTCTGCCTCTTTCAGTGAGCACCAGCATCTCTCAGCTGTCAGTGTCAAGTGCATCTGCCTTTATTGACTTGTCTCTCCTATATTCATTTTCAAGATAATAATAAAAATGCAGCATGTTTTTCTCTTCCAAAAAAATTTAAAAATAATACCGTTTTTTGTTATGGTGATACATGCCTTTAATTAATTTAAACCAGCACTTTCGGGGCAGGGGCAGATGGATCTCTGTGAATCAGAGGGCAGCCTCATCTACATACTGAGTAACAAGCCAGCCAGGGCCACATGGTGACACTTGGTCTCAAAAAACAAAACAAAACAAAGCAAAGCAAAGAAAAGAAAAGCAAAGCAAAACAACTAAAACCACCATCTGTAGGCCCAATACTCCTCACTTCAAAACATCCACAGTCAAAATGTCTAGTGTGATGTCCAGTGTATGAGAATAAGGCGTGACATATATTTCCATTTCCTGCTGATGAATAAATACTTCCTGGCACTGAAGCACTTTCAAACAATTTTCTAAAGCTACTGATGGCTCCTAAAGATAGACCAGGATCTCTCCTTCCCTCCCCCTTCCCCCCCACACATCTTCTTCAGTATTTTCACCCTCGAGGAGATCTCCCTGGCTTTAAATTCAACATAGGTAAAACACTATGTTTAACTTGGGTAGGACCGTCCTCTGTCCCAAGGTTTACACGGAATATGTGTCAGAAGAGCAGAAGTTGACTTTTCTGAAAATATACTATCAACAGCAATAATTCCTTTAGCATATCACCTGGCTTTGATCCAGCTGCTTTATGGGAAGAACTGTGTTCCCCACCAGTTTCAAGGGCTTGGCTGTTTCCTACATTGAATTTAAAAAAAGGAAGAAGAAGAAGAGGAAGAGGTAATTTTCCAGTTATGTATGCCACTTTGATCATCTTACATGAAGAAATACCTGCAGTAGGGGTCTTCTCTGAATGTATGGCATCGAAAGCCTTTAGGACAGACATCAATTGAATCATGTCTGTGTAGATGAAACACACAGTGAGACCCTGGGGACATTTATGTACAAGGGCCTCCAGGTTCAAATCATCG